GGGCTCCACATATTATTTGCACAAGCTGTTCTAGTGGATTGCGTGACTGGCTTCACAAACGGAAAACTGCATTTTCATTTGCCATACCCATGGTATGGAGGGAGCTAAAGGATCATGTAACTGATTGTTATTTTTGCATTGTTAATACAACTGGATTTTCATCAAAAAATAGGCACAAAATCGTTTATCCAGATTTGGATTCGGCAATGAGGCCAGTTCCACATGACCCCTCATTACCAGTTCCAATGCCTCCAATAGATGGATTAGATTCTGTCGAAGATGAGATGGAAGTGGACTCTTGTGATGAACATCAAGATACTGCCGATCTTGACTATTCACCTGATGTCGAAAAAACGAAGTATTCACTCAAGAAGAACTAAATGATTTGGTCCGAGACTTAACCTTATCAAAGGAAAAAGCAGAACTTTTGGGGTCACGACTTAAACAAAAAAATTTGCTTGCAACAAACGTTAAAGTGTGCCACTATCGAAAGCGTAATCTTCAATTAGCTACATTTTTTTGTTGATGGCCCATTGTGCTATTGCAATGACATCAGTGGACTGTTTGAAAGTTTATCACAACCGCATAAACCTTCTGAATGGCGTTTGTTCATCGATTCGTCAAAGCGAAGCTTGAAAGCTGTGTTGTTGCATAAGGGAAATCAAAAGCCTTGCATACCAATTGCTCATTCTGTTTATCTGAGTGAGACGCATGAAAACATGAAAATTCTCCTTGAGGCAATTAACTACAAAACTCATCAATGGAATATCTGTGGTGATCTAAAAGTTATTGGCATGCTGATGGGCATGCAAATGGGTTTCACAAAATTCTGCTGTTTCTTGTGTTTGTGGGACAGCCGCGCTGTAACAGAACATTACGTGAAACGAGATTGGGACCAAAGGAATGAGTATGAGCCACGAAGAAATAGTGTTAAAAATATTCCTTTGGTCGATCCACAAAAGATTTTTTTACCTCCTCTACATATCAAACTTGGCTTGATGAAGAACTTTGTAAAAGCAATGGGGAAATCCAATTCAGCTGGATTTCAATACTTGGTGGAAAAATTTCCAAAAATGAGTGCAGCAAAGTTGAAAGAAGGAATTTTTGTCGGACCTCACATTAGAGAGGTTTTACGAGATATTAATTTCAAAAATTCTCTCACAGATGAAGAAAAGGAAGCTTGGCAAGCCTTTACTTGGGTTTGTGCTAACTTTCTTGGTAACCACAAGTCACCTGAATATGAAGCAGGCATTCAAGAGCTGCTCGATTCATATCAAAAAATGGGATGTCGCATGTCTTTGAAGTTGCACTTTTTACATTCCCATCTGAAATTTTTTCCTGAAAATCTGGGTGCAGTGAGTGATGAACAAGATGAACGATTTCATCAAGATATTCAACTGATGGAAAATCGCTATCAAGGGTTTTGGAATAAAATCATGATGGGTGATTACTGCTGGATGCTTTATCGTGACAACCCAGACAAAGTCTTTAAAGAAAGTCATATTCACGGCGATTTTGAGCAAATGTTGTGATAATTGTAGTGAATAAAACATTGTATATGTTAATACTGACTTAAATTGTTAACAATTGTACGGATCTAAGATAGTAATAGGGTAGGAGATGCAAATTCATACAACACAACTTAAGGCAAATGTCTTAATTTCCCTGAGATTTGCAAAATAAGAGGGGCCCTTATCTCAAAAGGTGTACGTGATAGAGAAAAACTAAATAGATATTTGGAATCAGAGTGAAAAGTTTATCCAGAAAAAAATATTTTAATTCATGATGAGAACAAAAAGTTCCATTTTATTGACCAGTGTAATTGCAACTTTCATTTTATCTAGAAAACACCTGTTTTAAGCGATTTGTTAAAAATATCTAATAAAACATCTTTAATAAGTTCATAGCAGTCTTTGATTATGCTTGCTGAAATAGATTTATAGCCTGTTGCTTTATTTTTATTTAATTTTTTTTTATTGAATCATTAAGTTCTTTACTATTAAGTTTTTTAAATGCTAAGCTTTTATCCGACTTCGATAGATAGCTCAAGAAATGTGCAGGAGTGTGTTTAATTTTGCTGGCTAAGTTTGAACCAATATTTACGAAAAACTCATTAAATTTTGTTGCCACCGATTTTACATCAGAGATCTGTATACCGTCTACAGTAATCACGCTTGGTAAGACTTTGTTGTGTATTTTTTGTTTTCCAAGAACCGCTTTAATACCATCCCACGTTTTTTTGCAGTTACCTTTTAGTTCTAACAGCTTGTTTTTGAAGTATGTAGTTCTGGCTGTTTTTTTAGTTCTTTCATATAGACGTTTGTGCTCTAAGTAATTATGCTTATCACGTTCTTTCTTTGATTTAATAAAGCGTATATATAGGTTTTGTTTTCGCTTTGAAGACTTTAAAAGGTTTTTAGTGAACCAAGGATTAAGAAGTCCTTTAGTTTTAATACGGATTGTTTTATTAGGAAAATGCTTATAGTACAAATTGAAAAATTTATCTAAGAAAAGGTTGTAGCTGTTATTAGCACATATCTCGAGAAAAACAAAGTTCCAATTTACTAATTTGAACTTTACTAAGATGAAATAAGTAAAAATTAAAACTTAAAATTTTAATTAAACAATTAACAGTCTAACATAAAAAGTAAAATATTTGTGCAAGAGAATCAAAATATGTAACTTATAAAGGAAATATAAACTATGATTCAAATGACTCATCTACAAATAAAAACTATTAAACATCGATAGCATTATTCACAGAAGTGTTAATTGCCACGGATGTGATTTTACAGGGGAGCATTTTGAAAGTAGTAGACTAGTAACAATTAAGTAGACACGTAACATTTTAAGCGATTAGTTGACTCGTAACAATTTATTGTATACTTACAATATTCGGACACAATAATGTTTGAAAAAATACGACAATTTTTGTGTGTACTTAGCTCACTTTGACCAAATGTACTTGTGTAAATATTGACAGTGTACTTAGATGTAAATACTAACAGCGTACTTAGCTCACTTTGACCAAATAATGTACATAACACTTCTGCGCATAATGCCATCGACATATAAACTAATATTTTTTTAAGTTTAATTGAATTAAAAAAAATATCTTTTTATTGGAACATTGTTAAGGTTTGAATAAATTAGATTCTTTGAAATCTTATTCAGTGGCTTAGTTCTGCTGCTTTCAGGGGTCGTCAGTAAATTACGTCACGCTTTGGGAGGAAGGGGGAGATCTTGATTTTGTGAAACTTTCTTTATTTTAAGTTTTAAATCTAGAGAAGACTTTTTTTTAATTGAAAGAGGATCTGACCCAGCCAAAACCTCACAGAAGCTCATAGACTGTTTCGGCTGTAACAGTCTATGAGCAGTGCACGTTCCGCGCGTTGACTTTTTATTGTAAGAACTTTATTTAGTTAGTGCAAAAAAGTGTGCAGCAACAAAAAAACAACCTTTATTTAAAAATAAATAAATATCGATACCGAGAGGCGAACCTGGTACCCTCGGTTTTCTAGCCCGAGGCAGTATCCACTAGACCAAGCTAACATATTTACGAAATAACATTTTTGCATCGACAATATATTATATTGTATTTTTATGTATTATATATATAATACTTTGCGTGCATTATATATCAAAAGAATAGGTTTTTAAAATTGGTATCATGTTTAGGATAGCGATATTAAATTTATACAACTTTACACGGAACTATTGGGATGAAAAAAAAATAAAACAGACTGAAAAGTACTAATTAATTAATTCAAAGAAGCTCAGAAAATTATAGATATTATTATATTTAAAATTGTTTTGTATTTTGTAAAATTTTGTATCCAATCCCCCCTTCCTCTAAAAAAATATTTGAGGAGGGAGGGGGGGGGGGAAGGAGTGCGTAATATTTTTTTTTTATGTTGATTTATGTTGATTTAGGTGCCCCAAGAAGTCCTTACGATCTTATCACAGAGCACCGCGGAAGAGCATTTAATAGGAAGTTCACGCCTCCTTCCCAACCGATGTCGCAAAACTTGCCCAGAAGTGGGTTTGAACCAAGGATCTTACGTTTCTGAGGCAAGCGCGCTACCACTGCGCCACGGCTGTAACTTTAGGGGGGAGGGGGCAGGAGTCAATTGTGTTGTGGATACGTTACGAGGGAGGGGGTTAAAAATGTCAAAAATTGTATGGAAGACCCCTTATTGTGTTTATTAATGAAATTCTTCTTCTATTATTGTTGCTACTATTATATTTATATTATTATAATTACTATTATTGTTATCAGTTATTACTATTTTCATCTTTGTCTATCTTGTTATGTTATATTTAGGTAATTTAGGTATTTAATACTTTATATTATTGTGAATTTCCTTGAAATGTTATAACTCTTTTTTAATCATTATCACTATCCACCATTATTAAAAATTCCATACTACAAAGAAATTAAAACTAAATAAATTTTTTTAACTCTTAAAAAAATATACAAAATGGCTAAAAACTAAACTTTATATAGACGACCCCACATATTTGAGCCATGAGTTTAAAATGGCTGCAAATTTTACCACCACCCTTTTCTTCTATATTAATAAATTTTCAACTGTTTTTTAAATGCTAATCTCGATTCGAAATAAAGCATAAATGTAGATGTTTTGAAAGATAAAAAATTTTCAAGAATAAGCAAGTATTTTGATAAAATAAGGTGAGATATGTGACATATCATTTCATGCTTTTCTATCATGTCGCAAAACTCGAACAAAAAAATGTATCAAAGTCTTTCATATATATGCAGGACGTTCATACAATTAAAAATTTTGTATCCTATAAAAAAAAACCTATAAAAATTTTGTATACTATAAAAAAAAACAATACAAAAAATTGTATTGTTTTTTTTTTTAAATAATCGAATATTTTTTCTTGAGACCCAGACGCAATTTGAGAAAAAATTGAAAAATTTATTTAAATTCAAAAAATTTCAAACTAGTTATTAAAAAAAAAAAAATCAAAGCTTAAAAGCGGAAATCAAAATTTATTCAAAAAATATTTTTTAAAAAATGCAAAAATATTATCGAGGCAATTGCAGCAATGCAAGGGCTTTCGTAATGGGTTTACAAGGTTTTGTATCGTTTTTTACACAGGCGAAGCCAGTACCAAAAAGGAATTGCATTACGTAGTTGTTATATCAACCCAACGCCATATGAATTCACGCACAAAAAAAACAGGATTTTCTAACAAACATTCGATTTGTTCAGAAATATTTTCGATCTCAGGAGTAGTTTGTACTTCAACTTTGTAATTTGAATCCGATCTATAACATAAAAACAAAACAATAATAGATTTAGGTCTGTGTTACACACAGACGGTTTTTTAATACAGAAGGAGGGGGGGGGGGGTATTAGGGACCTTTTAGTTTAACTTTCTACATGTCGCAGACTCAAAAATCTATAAATTTATACTGGCATGAATGCTCTTGAAAAAATTCAAATTTTAGAGATTTTTTGTTGCCAGGCTCCAACTGGAGCCTTAGAAAAAAAAATCATCAAGCCGTTTCCATATACTTTTTAAAAAATTTATCTCAGGAGACTGAGCAGGCTGATGCATAGCATTGATTTTATTTACATAAAACCGTGCTTCAACAAGTTTAGATGCGTGTTTGGGATCATTTCCTTAAATCTAAAAATGGTATCATTTGATTCTCTAGAATTGAATTGTATATGTATTTGTCCAATATACCGTCAGTCTGATAGAGCAGTCCAAATTTGAAAATATTAAAAACCTATTAAGCCTTTGCCACCACTATGTTTCACGTTTTTAAAAGTGCATATTAATGTTAATCGTTTACCAACAGATCTTCTCACATTTACTATCTGAACTTCTAAGGTTAAACTTTGACTTCAACCATAACATACTTCGATCCAACCATAATATTCATCTCCACTGTACTACCAGTTAATTTCTGTGAGAATAGCGAACTCCAAATGTGCTTTTTGGTTGTTTGCAAATTTTTTTGTAGTAAATAATTCAATGAATATTTTTTTGCTGCACGGCAATTATACAATTCTGTTTCATCCATTTTGCGACTGTATTTCTGGCATTAGTAAATGGCGAACAGATTCTTTTTCATTTCCATATCTAAAAACTCTACGATCAGTATGAGGAATACTTTTCTTCAGTTGCCCCCCCAAAATTCCCAGTTTTTAACAGTTTCTTTGGCTTTACATTTGTTAACAAATCAACTTATAAACGCTTTTGAAATTTTATACTTTTTAAAAAATCCCATTGCGTAGTTCTAGCATTATAATGATTTACAACATTTTGTTTGAATACACTTTTAAACTTATGTGCCATTTTTTTAGCAATAATTTTACTTTAAATTTCTACTAAACAAGATTAGTTGTGTTTTATGTAAGACTAATTATAAAAGTATTCCATTTCCATTAAAACCATGGTTCAAAATGAACAATTATTGAATTGCAGTGTTGTTCGATAATGTTTTGTTTTCATGTTGAACAAAGTATCTTGTTCTAAATGAAGGTATTCCACATTTATAAGCAAATAGAATACCTAATAAATTTCTTAACTCTTTCACTACGGCAGTTTTTTTTTAAAAACTTTTCGCCGTGATCGCTCTAATTAAAAAAAAAAAAAAAAAAAAAATCATCACATACAAAACTAATAGAAATTTTTCGCCGTGATCGCTCTAATTTAATTTTTTTTTTAATTTAATTTTTCGCCGTGATCGCTCTAATTTAAAAAAAAAAAAAAAAATCATCACATACAAAACTAATAGAAATTTTTCGCCGTGATCGCTCTAATTTAAAAAAAAAAAAAAAAATCATCACATACAAAACTAATAGAAATTTTTCGCCGTGATCGCTCTAATTTAAAAAAAAAAAAAATCATCACATACAAAACTAATAGAATTTTTCGCCGTGATCGCTCTAATTTAAAAAAAAAAAAAAAATCATCACATACAAAACAAAATAGAAATTCAAGTAATAATTCTCTTCGAAAACATAACAAACCATATATATATAAAAAGCTGAGGAAAAGAACTTTCTAAATATATAAAACTTAAATACACTGTATTTCTTACTAAAAACTACAAAGAGTTCAAAAATATTATTTTTTATTCGAAGAAAAAATGTTTTAATCAAAAACAAAATTCTTTTATATAAATTAAGAATAAAATAGTTTAAAAAACATTTGTAACAACTAATGTAGTCAATAAAATCTATCATAATACATAATAGTTTTACTTTTCTTTTGAGTACAGAAAAAAATGAAAACCAATTTTTTTTAGAATTGTATTTTGAAAAATTAAAAATAAAAAAATCAAATAGTTTGTAAAATGTGCATTAAGCAAAAATAAAAAAATTCTGAACACTTCTAAATGATAAAAAAAATTTATCTGAAATGGTAAATCAAAAAACAATCCTTAGGGTGCAAATGAGGTTCATTACTGCAGCCAGAACATACAAAATTTGTGCGCTTTCTATTAGGAGTACTACAGACTACACAATTTCTATCGCTTTCAACATATTTAATCAAATGTCTTGTATTGTTATATCTTTCCAGGACTGGATTTGAAATTTGTCGAACTGTTTAAAAGTGTTGAATTATCAGGCATCATTTTAGCACACAAATTAACTAGTTCTTCAATAAGATACTCCTTCAATTTTTTTAGACTAATTTTTTTGAATAATTTGGACGAGTTAACAAATATAATATGTAAGAGTTAACTTGAGTTACTTCCATCAGCCAATTAAAAATTCTTTTCCACCACTTAACTGTCTTTCTATCAAGATTACTGTAATATGACACAGATTGGTCTAAATGATCACAACCATTCATTGATTGATTGTATCGGTGAATAATTTCTGGTATTTCTGACTCCTCTGTGACGAGAAGATATTGCAACATCATTTTTTATAAACTTAGTAGAAACAGCTACAACTGGTTTTTTAGCTTTTTTATCTTGCCACTGAACAAGTAGAATTCCAGATTCACTGCGATAATAATTTTTTTGTAGATATTTCATTTTACGACCTTTTTGGAACTTGATATTATCTGGAAAATTCTTGCGATTAGTTTGCAAGGTTCCAGTGTAGTGAAATGATTT